TATATATAATATATATATATATATATATATATATATATATATATATATATATATATATATATATATGTCGTACCTAGTAGCCAGAACGCACTTCTCAGCCTACTATGCAAGGCCCGATTTGCCTAATAAGCCAAGTTTTCATGAATTAATATATTTTCTCTAATTTTTTTCTTATGAAATGATAAAGCTACCAATTTCATTATGTATGAGGTTATTTTTTTTTATTGGAGTTAAAATTAACGTAGATATATGACCAAACCTAACCAACCTTACCTAACCTAACCTAACCTATCTTTATAGGTTAGGTTAGGTTAGGTAGGTTAGGTGGTCGAAAAACAATTAATTCATGAAAACTTGGCTTATTAGGCAAATCGGTCCTTGCATAGTAGGCTGAGAAGTGCGTTCTGGCTACTAGGTACGACATATATATATATATTATATATATATATATACCACACTGGTTCAGACCCACTGCTCTATCCCCGGGAGGTCAATGGACCTGTAATGATTTTGTAGCATTACATTAAATAATATTTATATGAGCGGTTATGAGCAGATATAACAACTTTAAATTACACGCACATCAGCAATCCTTATTACTTTAAACATTAATGTAGCGGCATTATTATGCGTACTGATAAAACGTTGGGATACCGCGGTAATTATAATTTTATATGCGTCAATGATTCATGTATTATGGAGCAAAAAAATACAAATATATACTGATTTATAATTTATGTAAATATGACTTGCATTCGTGAGGTGAAATACTTGGTCATAGGTGTTGGGGCAACCCGTCCTCTTAAAGTTATGTCCCTTTTCGCTCGTTTGCCTGTATGGCCAAAAATGGACGTAATATGAAATGAAATCGGCTCACAAAAGTGATGTACTGTTCCGTTTTCTGTTTTGGATCCTCTGGCTTAGGCTGTTAGGTTAGGAGAGGAAACTTTCAATTAACGGTTTTCATGACGTATTGAAACCTTAGGAGAACTTCCTGCCCTCCTAACCTACCAGAGGAACCTGCTGTTTTGAAAGAAAAAAAAGGTTGTTTTTCAATTATATTTAATTTTCAAATTATGTCCAGACTACAATTAAGGATTCACACCCGGTCAATCCTCTCCCGCAAGGATACGAATCCAGGCCAAAGCGCTTGCGAAACACCGGGCGAGTGTTTTACCACTGTGCCACGAGGACTGCCAAGGGACCTTAGTTTCCGGAGAACCACTAACATTAGTGGCCTCGACGAGGACTGGACGGCGGCGGCTTGTCGAAGGTCCTGCCCCCCTCTCCAGGGACATACAATAGGGCCTTGCCTAATATTTACCTATATACTAGCAAATATTATGTGGAACCTACTATGAGTTATTTCAGTTATGTTGGATATTGTTCTAGAGATATAGAATTTCACACCCACGTTAATACTCACTATTTTTCACTCTAAATATTGTGATATTTGAAGCAGCGATGATGGCAACGAATGGGGAGGGGGGGGGGGCGGACCAGCGCACCCCTGGGCAGTATAAGGGACAACTTTGATGTAGAGATTCGAGGAAAAAGGTTATCATGTATAACCAAACTCAATTACGGGCTCACCATAGCCCGTGCTACATGGATACTTCGTCCTGAGTAGCTAAATCTTTAACAACAACAACAACAACGTGGAGATTCATTGAAGACTTTCATACATTCATCTGAGGCTCATGGTGTCATAGCGGGAAGCCCTTGTAGAGCGGGCAGAGGAACGTGCGCACAGGTGAGTAGATAGTGTTCAACTGACGAAAAATGGGTCAGAGTCTGAGATGGTACCTGAGGAGGTTAGCAGAGACCTCTTGCGGAGAAAGTGATGTATTAAGGTTGTTGATCTCTGATTGACAGACCACTTTCAAGAACTCCAGTGTTCTTTCTCACTCGTAAAAGGCTTTCAAATGTATAAATCGATTAATATTGTGCATATCTTGAGTATACTTCATGGTAGATGAACATATGTGTAGCTATCTTGAGAGAAAAGCGAGCACGAGGGAGACACTGAGTACGGCTGAGAAGTGACAACAGAAGAGGTAAGGAAACAGCTAGCAACACTAGATGAAACTAAAGCAATTGGAGTGCCTCTGGAATTGCACAACATTCAGTTTAGGGTCCAGGCCGGCGGGGACCTATCCATCTATCTGTATATCTATCTACCCATTTATCCATATATCTATCCAATCCTCTTTGGCGGAGGAAGGATCCTCTGTCTCCTGTCAATGTTGAGTGATAAAGATTAAGCCACCCAATAGGTGGCACGGGCATGAATAGCCCGTCATCCTGTTAAAGTGCAAATGTTCGCCTTATAAAGGGGAAGCCACGAACTATACCTATCCCCGCCTACCCGGGATAGGTGGGAAAACACAGCCAACCATCTGCAGGTACCAGCTTAGCACAGGGCGAGGTCCCGTCACGACGTGGGGCCAGATTCACGAAGCAGTTACGCAAGTACTTACGAACGTGTACATCTTTCTGCAATCTTTGACGGCTTTGGACTCATTTATTAAACAGTTTACAAGCATGAAAACTTCCCAATCAACTGTTGGTATTGTTATAAACAGCCTCCTAGTGCTTCGGAGCTCATTTACTGTTTAATAATTGTAAACAAAGCCGCCGAAGATTGAGAAAAGATGTACAGGTTCGTAAGTGCTTGCGTAACTGCTTCGTGAATCTGGCCCCTGACCACTGCCCAGCCTGTGACATAACACCTCTGAGGTGTGACTTTGTTATTGTCACGTACAGACAGCCTGGCCACACACTTTCCTGTGGGGGCGAATTCATGAATTGATTAAATAAAACCATTTATGGTGTTACAGTCACTACAAGACGTCGTACGGCCTACGTAAATCTTTTATAATAATTTGCTATTAAATTTATATTTTTCATAAGTACTTAAGTTTGTGAACAGTGAAGAAGTTCAGATAATTGTGATTTTGGTCACGAATGTTTCCACGTACAAAATAAGGGGTACTATGAAAGGTGGAGGCTCACGAATATCCACATTTTTAATATGTAGGTTGGTTAGGTTAGGTTAGGTACGTGGCTCGGGTTCATGCATTTTAGTACCCTTAATTTTAATGTTGTGGCAAATTAAGAGAACTGACTGAACTTGTCATTGGCTAACGACTCACCTAAACACAACATAAATGGATAATGATGATGTATTCTGAGCATTATTCTCACCAGTTTGTAACTGTGGCAATGATGCGGTGGTGACCCATCATCCCTCAGCCGCCACTAACGACCCAACAATGCCCGTCAATCACCACACTTCGCTAATAGTTCATAACTATAATGATCGTGATGCAAACTATTCTCCTAATTGAGCGTCGCATTTTGACGTATATTCTACCTAAGGCCACAAATCGACGTACTAGAAAACGGCAGCGGCTCGCGAAATTGACATACCGTCCCGTGTTCTGTCTTGGCTCCTCTGGTAGGTTAGGTTAAGGGCACGTTAGTACGACAGTTTCTTGACGTTGGGTAACCTTAGGAGGACGGGACCCACCTCATCTTGCTCCTGACGGGTGCCTCCCCTCACTGTGACAGTGTGTCCAGACACACACATACACACACACACACACATACACACACACACACACACACACACACTCACACATACACACACACACACACACACACACACACACACACACACACACACACACACACACACACACACACACACACACACACACATACACACACACATACACACACACACACACACATACACACACACATACACACACACACATACACACACACACACACACACACACACACACACACACACACACACACACACACACACACACACGCGCGCGCACACACAGGTTTGCCACCAGACTAGTACCCGAACTGAGGGGTTTGAGCTACGATGAGAGACTACGGGAATTAAACCTCACGTCACTGGGAGACAGAAGAGTTAGAAGGGGACATGATCACCACATACAAGATTCTCAGAGGAATTGATAGGGTAGATAAAGACAGGCTACTTATCACAAGGGGCACACGCACTAGGGGACACAGGTGGAAATTGAGTGCCCAAATGAGCTATAGAGACGTTAGAAAGAATTTTTCAGTGTCAGAGTAGTAGACAAATGGAATGCATTAGGCAGTCATGTGGTGGAGGCTGACTCCATACACAGCTTCAAGTGTAGATATGATAGAGCCCAGTAGGCTCAGGAACCTGTACATGAGTTGATTGACCGTTGAGAGGCGGGACCAAAGAGCCAGAGGTCAACCCCCGCAAGCACAACTCGGTAAGTACAAACACACACACACACACATCTCCCCAGTAAGGATTATACAAGTACTTAATGACTGGTATTGCACTATCATAACAAATCCTTTCGTCAGCAACTTACCGCAGTTACCCTTGACAGCGCCTAACATGAGCAACGCCACAACGCCACACACAGGAGGAACGCCTTCAGATGGTTATCTTGTGAACATTTCGGGGCTTAGCGTCCCCGCGGCCCGGTCCTCGACCAGGCCTCCTTATTGTTACACATCCCAGGAAGCAGCACGTAGCAACTGTCTAACTTCCAGGTACCTATTGAACAGGTACAAACTTTGTCCATTTGTTCCCGCCTCCACCGGGGATCGAACCCGGAATCTCAGGACAACGAATCCCGAGCGCTGTCCACTCAGCTGTCAGGCCCCTTCCTCCTACCAGATTTTATTTAATGCACACTTGAATCCATTTATAAGTATCACTTATATTCCCCTGCTTCTGACAGATGCTCAAAAACATGTAATGTTTTAATATGGGCTTCATGGGCTATGGGCTATCATTACATGGGCTTCTTATGATTAATATATCATAAGAAGCCCATGTAAAGAGCTATTTTATGCAAGTACTGATAATCAACATGTCCATAACATCCTTCAATAAGGAAACTACTTTGATTTTAAAAGGCTTTTCATTACTGGCAATGATGACTTGGCACTTTCTCCTGATAACTACCTACCTTCATTACTGGTAACAATAGTACTAACGAGGCAGAGAAGCGTTGTCAACCCCACCAGGCAAATGTCCTTATATTTGTTAGAATGTTAATTAAACGGAGTATCTTCCTAATTATATAATTCAGTGAAATACCGTAAAAATTTTTAAATAATTCCTTGAGATAATTAAGTGATGTTCCTGTACATAATTTCTTATTAGTTCATTGTTCACCAATGTTCACCAGAATCATCACTTGTTTCTGATTTAATATTATCAAGTATTAATAAAGCAATGGATCAGTAACGCTAGTGGAACAATTTGTGAAGGAACGCTAGTGGAACAATTTATGAAGGAACGCTAGTGGAACAATTTGTGAAGGAACGCTAGTGGAACAATTTGTGAAGGAACGCTAGTGGAACAATTTATGAAGGAACGCTAGTGGAACAATTTGTGAAGTAACGCTAGTGGAACAATTTATGAAGTAACGCTAGTAGAACAATTTATGAAGGAACGCTAGTGGAACAATTTATGAAGGAACACTAGTGGAACAATTTATGAAGGAACGCTAGTGGAACAATTTGAGTATAACAAATTTGCAAGAGCAAAATGCAAAATATTAAATGTTGACAAAGCTTCATTTTTGTATTAGTTGAGCGTGAAATATAAACACATAATAATTAATAAGGCCTCGAGGAATATACGAAGAGACGAAAGATCAACATTTGGCACTAAAGCATCATTTTTTTCTATGCAAGAACCCCGTGAGAGCCGTTGAGGAGCTCGTACCTCACCAGATCAACCCGATTGATCAACTACAATTGATTACTACTGATGGTCTCATTTGCATGTCCATTCTACGACATTGGTTGGCTCCTCCCAGTCTCTCCCCTTGCAGATGTGTCTGGTAATGGGTTTGATCCCTCAAGATGTCCTCATCTGTGGGGGCATCCAGCCTTGGCTCCTCTTCTCCTCCTCATGAATGGGGGCATCCAGCCTTGGCTCCTCTTCTCCTCCTCATGAATGGGGGCATCCAGCCTTGGCTCCTCTCCTCCTCCTCATGAATGGGGGCATCCAGCCTTGGCTCCTCTCCTCCTCCTCATGAATGGGGGCATCCAGCCTTGGCTCCTCTCTTGCTCCTCATCTGTGGGGGCATCCAGCCTTGGCTCCTCTCCTCCTCCTCATGAATGGGGGCATCCAGCCTTGGCTCCTCTCCTCCTCCTCATGAATGGGGGCATCCAGCCTTGGCTCCTCTCTTGCTCCTCATGAATGGGGGCATCCAGCCTTGGCTCCTCTCCTCCTCCTCATGAATGGGGGCATCCAGCCTTGGCTCCTCTCTTGCTCCTCATCTGTGGGGGCATCCAGCCTTGGCTCCTCTTCTCCTCCTCATGAATGGGGGCATCCAGCCTTGGCTCCTCTCTTGCTCATCATCAGTGGGGGCATCCAGCCTTGGCTCCTCTCTTGCTCATCATCAGTGGGGGCATCCAGCCTTGGCTCCTCTCCTTCTCCTCATCAGTGGGGGGCATCCAGCCTTGGCTCCTCTCCTCCTCATCAGTGGGGGGCATCCAGCCTTGGCTCCTCTCCTTCTCCTCATCAGTGGCGGGCATCCAGCCTTGGCTCCTCTCCTCCTCATCAGTGGGGGCATCCAGCCTTGGCTCCTCTCCTCCTCATCAGTGGGGGGCATCCAGCCTTGGCTCCTCTCCTTCTCCTCATCAGTGGCGGGCATCCAGCCTTGGCTCCTCTCTTGCTCATCATCAGTGGGGGCATCCAGCCTTGGCTCCTCTCCTTCTCCTCATCAGTGGGGGCATCCAGCCTTGGCTCCTCTCCTCCTCATCAGTGGGGGGCATCCAGCCTTGGCTCCTCTCCTTCTCCTCATCAGTGGCGGGCATCCAGCCTTGGCTCCTCTCCTCCTCATCAGTGGGGGCATCCAGCCTTGGCTCCTCTCCTTCTCATCAGTGGGGGCATCCAGCCTTGGTTCCTCTCCTCCTCCTCATCAGTGGGTCATCCAGCCAATCGCCCGGTCTTTCCTAATATCAATATTTGTGGATGAATTGAGCTGTATGATTTGCTCATTATATCTTGCCTCGAGGAAGAATCTAATCTCGCGCTTCACGTAGATCATTTTTCACGCAAACAATTTTCGGAAAAATATTGACTCATAATGCGTCATTGCAAAAAATAACACGACATCGAGAATCGTTCTCTAATGTTGCTTCGCTTTCGTTTTCAAACAAATGAAATTTGTATAAATAAACAGGGCAGATTTGGCAATAAAAAGTTGTACAAGCCCCTTATAGTGCTTCAAGTGGTTTGACTGAACCATCTCCCTTCTAATGATGTCTTCGGCGTGAACGTGGGCGTGTCCATTAATGACTAGCACCTGCCTTGCTCTACTGACTTCCTCGTCAACCTGCTTTCGACTGGAGCTGTGTACGAGAGCACGGTTAACATACGAGGAACTCAAAAAAAGTAGGGCAAATCCTAGTCAAGAATGGATACGCTAATGGGTATGTCGAAGACATCATTTGCAAGGAAAGTGAGCCACCATGCTTCCTCTGATGCAACAGCCAACACTGCACTATCTGCCCCTCCTATTACACTATTCTACAGGAAGGGAACTGTCAGGAGAAAGCGCCAAGTCATTACGACTATATAGTACTTGGAAGGGGTCAGGATAAGGATTTGGGATGGGACGGGAGGGAAAGGAATGGTACCCAACCACTTGGACGGTCGGGGATTGAACGCCGACCTGCATGAAGCGAGACCGTCGCTCTACCGTCCAGCCCAAGTGGTTGGACAGGAACTTCGTTTCCACGGCTCAGAAGATGGAGGAAAGAGTCCTGAAAGACACTGTTAGAAACAAGACCTCAACTGACACCACACACAAGACAGAGTTGACAATCTACTTCAATAGCAAGAAGACACTCTTCCCCCGCCCCCCAACTTGCTTATTAAGCACTCTCCTATACCAAGTAAAACGCCTTGAGACAAATGTCATCTATATCTTCACATGCTCACTTGGGGAATGTCAACTCTAGCGATCTCAGTACCTAGGCAAGGCAACATTTCTTTCAAGGAACCAAGCAATGCCCAAATAGCAAGGCTCCATCAAAGAACATATAATTTCTACAGAGTCAGATAGTCACCAGAGATATCCTAAACAACAACGAAATAATCAACAGATACAACGACAACAGAAGATTAGACACTGACAAAGCACTACAAATCAATCAGCGTCAACCAACTATTAACTATTACCTGATGTCAGACGTCTCCAGCAGCTGAAGGAGGCATTCAAGCGGAATTCTGTGTTAAGTTTCAGTTACGAGATGGAGAATGATGGGAAGCTGCCCTTTCTATATGTAACAGTCATGGAAAGGAACGGAGGCTGCCACAGTGCAGTCTACACTAAGGAAACAAACATAGGTATGTGCCTCAATGCCAATAGTGATTGCCCAGACGGGTACAAGAGGAGTGTTGTCAACGCTTACGTCGATCGGGCTTACAGTTACAGCTCAGGACGGAAGCAAGTCGATGAAGAACTCTGTAGGGTAAGGCAGGTCCTAGTCAACAATGGCTTCTCTAACGGTTATGTTAAAGATGTCATAAAAAGAAATGCGAAACCATGCAACCTCTGAAGAGTCAACTAACACAACACTTATACCCCCTATTAGACTGTTTTACAGGAACTTCCTTTCGACGGCTTATAAAATGGAGGAAAGTGTCCTGAAAGATATTATTAATAGGAACGTTATCCCTACAGATAAAAATCAGAAAATACAATTGACAATTTACTGCAAAAAGAAAAAAAACGGCCAACCTACCCATGAAAAACCCCCAGACACCAAACAGAATGCCTTGAGGGAAACCAACGTCGTCAATGCTTTCACATGCCCACTTGGGGACTGTAAGCCCCAAAGAACTCGGTATATAGGCAAGACAACAACGTCTCTTTCTAGGCGATTAACAATGCACAAACAACAGGGCGCCATCAAGGAACATATAATCTCTTCTCACAACCAGACCATCAGCAGAGAAATCTTAACAAGCAACAGAGAAATCATCGATAAATACAGTGATAGTAGGAGACTCGACATCAGCAAGGCACTCCACATCAAAAAGAGAACACCAGCAATCAACAGCCAATTAATGCACAACTATATTTTACCTACTTCAAGTCCCCGAACCAACATAGGAACAGCAAGAGAAAGTATGGGCCAGTAGGCTTTCTGCAGTTACATTCATTAGTATGATGATTGATTGATTGATGAAAATTAAGCCACCCAAAAGGTGGCACGGGCATAAATAGCCCGTAAGTGGTGGTCCTTTTGAGCCATTACCAGTATCAATAGATGATACTGGAGATCTGTGGAGGTGCGACTGCACCCTGCGTGACGGTATTAGTATGCCTTCCATACCCAATTAATACCCACCTCACCCAAAACATTTGTGTCATATCACCTCACCCAAAACAAATAAAAAGTATGATGTATCTTATCTGTAAACCAAGTCTTTGAAAATGTAAGAAGCCCTACGAAATGCTTCTAGGCGTCAAACCAAAACTAAAAATGTAAAAAATGAGTTTTGAAGAGTTAATTTTTCAATTACTCTCGACAGTGAAGAAGAACGTAAGAAATATTGAGAAGATTCGTGTTAGAATTAACAATCTTACCCTTTCGGTCATATTAAACAACATATAACATAACGTTCGCATATATATATATATATATATATATATATGCGAACATGCCTGAATGGTCCCCAGGACTATATGCAACTGAAATTTCACACCCCAGAAGTGACTCGAACCCATACTGCCAGGAGCAATGCAACTGGTATCTACAGGACGCCTTAATCCGCTTGACCATCACGACCGGACAAAAGGAAGTGATAGCTGAAGCTATTTGAACCACTTCCCCGACAGCACTCGGATGGTAATCATGGGCAAAGAATGAGGTGATTTGATAAAATGCTATGCCCAAGATTACCATCCAAGTGCCGGCGGGGAAGTGGTTCAAATAGCTTCGGCTA